CACAGTAGATATTTTGGGACCTTAACTTCCGAGAACATTGCTAAAAAAGGTGGAGTGGCTTCGAACCGGCGGGCTCTTCAATGAGACTGAAGGATTCCTATTCTTCTTTGAAGGACAAGTTAAAACCAGAGCATATATAATATTTATTATGGGTCAGCAAATTGATATCCGATGTCGCCTAAGTAAATCTACCAAGGGGTAAATTCAGCATATTTGTTGTAGATGCCCCGCATTGGCTCAAAAAAAAAAAGTCTCAAGAGACACAACTGCGTCGCCAAAGCAGTAGAGAGTGAGCAACATTCTAAGTGCAAAGCAGAGCAAGAAATCAGAAATGATCGAGCTCGAATTCTGTGGGATAGTATAAGCAAATAGACCAGATATTGTTCCGTTTGATAAAATATCTAAAACATCATGCATCATTGATGTTGTGGTCCCTACAGATGACAGGTTTATAATAACTCTTCTTGAGAAGATTCCAACCACTAGTTTTCATAAATTCCAACCACTAGTTTTTCAATTGAAGGGCATGTGTGGATTACGTGTATTGGAAGTTCTTCCAGTGGTAGTGTTAACAAATGAATTGGTCACCAAGAAATGGGAAAAGACTGCAAAGAAATTATTGCTAAGTGCGAAACATTTGCAGACCATTCAGAAACTATGCATTTAGAACTCATTGTTAAAGACTGAATTGACGGATGGAAAAAACAACCATGCTATTGCTTCTCTAAAACGTGCAAACTACTGTTGCCTTGGGTGATTTTGAGAATTCCAGCATCAGAGTAGAAGCAATAAAAAATAAAAAATCAATAATAATAACAATAATTATTATTGTTATTATTATAAATTATAATAATTCCAACAAGTACGCAATCATTCAATATTCATCAATTTGTATTATTTCCATATAATTAATTTCAGGTACCTAATACACAATTATATACTATTGAAAAAGTCGAATACACATGACATTTTCCAATTCAGACAATGTAGGATCTAAGACATTATTTTAACAAGCTAACGGTAAAAATGCAAGTAGTGAAATTTAGCCTGTCGCTTAACATTTTAAATGTTTATAAAATGGGTAAGTTACTGGAAAATCCGGCCACCTGGAATCAAAACAATAGGTTATTTTTCAAACATATTATATGCGTTCTCAGTCACATTACAGCGACTCGAAGAAACAAGATTCCAATATTTATGAATAAGATTTGGCAAATGAATCAGCAATCATAACATCCGCAAAATACATTACACATACAAGTTACAAGTACTGTTACACATACAAGTTACAAGACTGACAACAACACAGTACTACTTTCACACGTATATGATACTTTATCTACACATAAAAGCAACGAAAAACGAAAATATTACATCGACTAGCTTTATAAAATAAAATGCGAGAGATTGAGTGCGAATTACAAGATTTACTATACAGAAAGTCAAATTAGATAAATGAGATAAAATCAGAGACATGATCACAGAATTAAACATTCGAATTATTAACCTATAAAAACCAATGGTTCAGAAATTATTATTACTTTCTCGCCTTACAAATTCTTAGTAAAAAGAGAACGTTATGTAATCGTGCGCCAGAAAACGCCGAAATTTCGCCAGAATAAACCTCATTGCTGGGTGCTAGTAAAGAAAAAGTGGATAAATCCTGTTGCTAAATGTAGAAAAAAATCTATAATTCGTGGTGTAGCCAGAATCCATTTTTGGTGGTTCCTGATAGCGAAAAATCGATTTACAGCAAAATGTCCGTCTGTCCATCCGTGGTTAACGCTAGGGCTTAAACTGTTCAGCTGATTTTCTTTAAAATTGATATACCCTTATTGATCGTAACAGACTGGAGGCTTTGGGAGTTTCTAATGGATATTTTGATTGTTGAAGGTATTTTTTTTAAATGGGTATTACCGTAGCTAAATTTGGGGAAAACTGTCCACTGAGTTTTCGTAAAGACTGCCATGGGCCCGGTATCCAGTGACGCACCGCCATTCTGGAGTTTTTTTCAAACCTTTCTTTTAAATCTAGCGCCAGTTTCTCGTGACGCAGTGTCCGCGAGTTCTAGAAAGCTCGTTACCTTGGCCGCGACCTTGACATGCCTGCCGCAGGCAGCATCATGTCCTTGCTCCCTACACGAGCTCTCGCCCCTCCGTTCCCCCCACGGAGCCAACTCGTTCATCACCTGGGGCTCCGAGTTCCCTTTTATGACAGTCACACGCGTGACAACGCCTGTGACTCGCCACGCACCTCTCGTTACGATGCCTTGTACGGGGCCGTCCGTAAATTACGAAATGCAAATTTGTAACGCGCGCTTGAACCCCTCTTGTGACACACACACCCCCTGCCCATTTACATTATGTAAAAATGTATTATATAACAGTAAAATAATCTGTATTATTTTTTCTTGTTTACATGTTCAAACTTATGATAATTAAAGCAAAAATTAGATGGTAGTCAAACCGCACCAACAATAAGATTGAAGACTTTTTGAGTGAAGGAAGGTCGCATAAGCGAAACAATTCCTGACACGCTGTGCACCCGCCGTCGTGGATAATGCAAACGCAAGTGCCAATTTCATTGGATTCTAGAATATATTATACATCAGTTTTCAATATTTTCTTTGCAATCTAACAGATTCAATCAATACAACATTTATGAAAAAATATTTCCATTTATTGTAACAATTATATCAAAATTTATTTAATTAATTATTTTTTTAAATTTAATTTGTTAATATCATATTGTTTTAGTATGTGACTGAATAAAAGGAACTATTTCATCAAATTACCGAGACGAGACGGACTATTTTAATTAATGGGGGATTACTCCCGCGAGGTAGTTATTGGAGGATTGCTCCAAAAGCGAGAAGAGCTCAACGCCCCCCATGGGGCTTGGAGACGCATTGCGTCAAAGCTGCCGAAGCAATTTTTTTTTAAGTTGAAAAATAAATAAATAAATAAATAAACATAAGACCAACAGTAAGATCTGTCGCAGATTACTACATTATTGAAGGAACTAGCAACCGTCGCCGGATCGTTCACCTCAATAAAACATCATTCTCTACGAGGTCTCTAGTTGATGGGATCGTTTTTTTCTTCTGTATTTCACATTGCTTTTGTTTTGTTAATTGATTTCAAAATATCATTTTTCATATATATCATTGAAAATATTATAATACCTAAACGGAATTACTGAAATTGAGATACTATTCTTTTTCGGAAAATCCACATAGAAAATGAATGTGTACAATGCATTCGAAAAAGCGATAACTGAAAGTTATTACTCAATTTTCTCAGAACATACTGCAATCTATAGCTCGCTTTTTGGGCGTCTGTAGATGCAAAAGTAGGATAATTTTGATCACAGAAAGATGTAATGTTGTTTTTTTTTTCCTTTTTTTCCCACAACTTAGACGCAATGCTTCTCCAAGACCCTTAGGGGTTGTTGAGTGCTGTTTTGGAGTAATTCTCCATTAACTATTGCGCGGGAGTAATCCTTCATTAATTTACGTCCCATCTCAGTCAGTAGTCAAGAGAACCGCCAGATAGGATCTCCGCGTACGCGCCTCTTTCTTACGAGCTCATGCGTCACTACCCAGTGGCCAGAATTGGGAAGGAATTAGGATTGGGGTAGTGTTTGGGACACTTCACAGGGGTTGGACTAGCTCTTGTGAAGCAGCCAAACTCTGTCGTAACAAATTTCTCATGAGCTTCTACGGGTATTCTACGTGAATCCGGCTCGGAACCTCTGATTTCAAAAACATTTTCAACTGAATAAACATTTAATTCCGTCAAGAAGTTGAATTGATATCATTTCTCACATAAATACAAGAATCAATACATGCGGGAATTTTATTTGATTCCCTTTCTCAACAAATAATCTCATAATAGCTATTAACTTGTTTGCAGTGCAGGCTCTACAAACTCAGATTTCTCTAAAAGAGATTCAACATTATGGAGCAATACCATGTGTAAATCTATCGCAAGTACAAACACGGAGATTTATCTGGCGCAACTGACTGTAGTTGCTATATATTTATTCCACGTTTACCTTCAGCGCGTAGTCGAAGATGGTAACCAGCAGTGAGAGGTTGTGAGATAATTTCGACATAAGATGGGGATAAATTGGTACTGTGATGGGGACAAACGGGAATACGTTCAGAGAGGGGAAAGGGTTCTGGGGGTGCGATATGAACATAAAACTTGATTTGAAACACATTTTTTTAAAGTGTGTTCGAGCGCGACAACTGCTATGATAATTGTTCCCGTAAGTGCGGTGCATGTGGATACCGATCCCCGCTGGATGATGAAACCTGACACTGACCTTCACGTCGTCTTGCAGGATTTTTCCCGACCAGTTCCTCCCAACTAGGCACCGCCCCAGCCGGGATAAGCTCTAAGCTCCCGACATGTGTGGTAGTGCAGTCCATGTAAATGTGTACGTAAGGGGTGAGGATAGGAAGAGGAAGGAGAGATTGACTCCTTTGTTAAGGTACAGAGGCATTCGCCCTAGTATTGATCGGAGAACAGTCGGCTGCCAGAAATTTCCTCCACAGCTGCTGAATTCGACCGAGCTACCTAGCTAATGTCGAAATCCAGCCACCGTCAGGTCTTACATTGACATCAGTTGATGCCCTGAGTAACATAACACGGTTTGCTCAAATGAACAGAACCGTCACTCCTCACACAAGATAGTAAATATTCCAGTAATTAAATTAATGCAGTGATTTAATGCCGAAAATAAACTCATCTGTTGATAGATTTGGAAGCGTAACTTGTAAATCTTAAGTTCGTTAAAATTTCAGTTAACTTTTAAAATCCGTGTTTGCTTATTCCTGTATAAGGTGAAAAAAAAACTCTCGAAATATTACTTCCAGTTAACATTCAACAAGTAATAAGTCAGTCGTTGCAGAGAGGGCGGTTACACTTCACATTTCATTGTTAAAAGAATACAAAATATTCTACAGCAGTGAGCAGAAAACACAAATTATATTACAAAACCTTTAATCGTGAAATCTATTCATCTGAAATTTTTAATTGAACACAAAGATGGAGAACAATACAACTTTTTAGTAAGAGTTAAAGTTTACTTTTACATCTGTAAACATGTTAACTACCATTATACTCTGTGAAAGTGCTACCGCTAATAAACTAAACTCCATCAGTGAAGTAGTTATATAATGATAAATGCTCATAATCTATGATAATTTTACATGAGTTTTGAATATAATGTAAGGTGAATACTTATCGCTAGCCTCCCCTCCCATGAGGAAAACTTGAAATAAGATGTAACACATTCACATCAGATATTTCCTCGTCTCCACAATGAATTCAAAGATGAAAGAATGAGCCATCTGTTACAAATATTGCCATTTTTTAATTATTCAATCATATGAAGCTTTGAAAATGGTATCTCTTATCATGTCTCCATTAAACACTCCTTTCCTAGCAATCCCTTACCTGTCACAAAACTTAACAGAAAGAAACAAAATCCATCAGAGTAATACTGAACCAAACACACACACACAATGTATACAAAATCAACATTCATCAAAAACACTAATATGAACCTTACATGTGGAAATCATACATCTAGTTAACTAATATGGTAATATTAATTTCATTAAGCATAATTTTCAATTTGATATCCATGTTAATATGATTCAACGATTAAGATCCAAGGCCTTGTAACAAAAGAAGTAACATTTAAAATGATTTGTAAAACATGTTAAAAGATTTTACAATGGACTGCACAGCACTCACTAACTCAAAAAATGGATTCTGGATAGCATTATTACCTTGTTAAGGTCTCTACCATTTCCAAGTTAGCTACAATATGGTTTCTCCCATACACAGAAGTAGAATTTTCACTTTAAATATTTTCCACACATGTAATTCACTCAAGAGCTGCCAAATTTATTATTAAAGTTCATTATTTCAACTTTACTTTACCCACTAATTCTGTTCGCCTTTTCAAATTTGTCTTCATATGATTTATAATTGAAAGTAAATTGTTTAGATGAATCTATTCTAACAATACTTCTTGTACTAGAATTGTAAAACTATCCTAAGCACAGGAAATTCCTCATGGAATAAATATATAACTTCCGAATTCATTGTTATGCATTTTTCCCATACTAGTGATGTTTTCACATTACTTTAGTGGAACCTACCTAGTGCCTAGCTTAAAAAATTCTTCAAACATTACTAATTATCCTAATGCTACTTTATATAGCTGGTTGCAAATATCCCTGCTCTCATTCCCTGAACGTTTAACTGGTACAATTATTGATCATTCACTGAAGGTGCCATATTTCCCCAAAATTTACTATGACAAACTATACATCAAAGCATCAATCATTAACTATCAGTTTTCTAAGCAGCATTACACAATCTTATTTAAAGTGCAATAGCATGATTAGTAGTGAACCACTAAATATAACCAAATAATGCAGGCTTCTATTTCATTAACCTATTTGCAATTCATCAATAAAGTTCAATAACTGATCATCAACCATAAAGGAAATTCTTGGGAATTTGTGGAAATTAAACTTTCTTTACAATTTACTCAAAATATGCAATTAAGCAAACTAAACACAACAGCTCCCAAATTAAGTATTATTTCATAACGAATTTAAACAATTTTCTCAAGCAACCACCTTTGACAAATTTTACATTTTCTTAGTGAACTTAATTTTAATACAGATAGTAATTTGACAGCCTACCCAAGATGCATGAACAATTACACAAAAATGTATCACATCACTAATGAATTCAAGATACTTCCAAGCATTTCTGTAAATTTTATTGGACACTAAGGACTGAATTTACAGTAGCAGTCTGACTGACCTATAAAATCAAATTATATTAAAGGGAAGGAATTAAGTGGTAGAAAAGCAACATTTTGAACAGGATGCAATGCAATGTTTTATTTAATCACTTATAAGTCATGAGGTTATTAACTTATCTTACTTAGCATTCACAATTTTTGGATCAACGAATTACAATTGAAGGAACTAATGAACTTACATGTGTAACATACAGCATTCAAAACATTTCAATATAAATATTAAGGAAACATACTTTTAAGGTTACATGTAGCTTACACTGCCACAAAATGAATTTACACGTTACATGGAATCAACTTGTTCACTGACAGACCTGAAGTACTCTTGGCTTTCATCAGGATTTGGCTTCATGGTCTTGCTGCCAGGTTTCCAGCCAGCAGGGCAAACTAAAACAAAACATAGATCAAGATCTTGCATGAAAGTTAAATTAAAGAATTTCACTTTAGCAAACCGTTTCTTACCTTCACCATGCTCATCAGTGTACTGGAATGCCTGAACAAGCCTCAGAGTTTCATCTACTGAACGACCAACTGGAAGATCATTTATTGTTATCTGACGAAGAACTTGATTGGCATCAATAATGAATAATCCTCTGAAAGGGACACCTGATTCTTCATTTAATACTCCATAAGCTTTGGCAATTTTTCCAGACTTATCAGCCAACAGGGGAATATTCATGTCACCCAAGCCACCCTTCTTTCGAGGAGTATTGATCCACGCCAAGTGGCTGAAGTGGCTATCACAAGAGGCTGCAATGACCTCACAGTTTATATTACTGAATTCAGCAGCTCGATCAGAAAATGCAATGATTTCTGTAGGGCACACAAATGTGCTGCAAACAAAGGAAAAAAAAATCAGTTTTAAGAAGTCAATTTCATATATATTTCAATATATGCATTTACGATCTTCCACAGATACGAAATGAGACGAACTATTTAAGAGTAAGACAATCCATTTCATGTAGCTAGTACAATTTCTACTAACTTAATTCTATAGATATTAAATTTTGATTACATACAAGGAAATTTTAATTTTGTAAGATTGTGTATATAATTGGACCAAAGTAACACAAAATGTAATACGTTTGCTCTATTTCTAAAACAATACACACTGCCTAGTACAGGATGGAACAGGACCTTGCCAAATTTATCTTAAAAATTTACCATCCCAGCTTTTTCTAGACGTACAACAGCATGGCAAGAGTCCTAAAATCAACTGACCAATAATAAAGTATCCAGTTGATTTAATCCATGACCTGCACTTGGAATCATTTTGTCAGAGAGAAGAAATAATTTCACTTACAAGTCCAATGGATAGAAGAAAAGAACCACATATTTTCCTTTGTAATGCGATAAACTAATATCCTTGAACTGGCCTTTTACAACAGCGGTACCCGTGAATTCGGGTGCTGGTTTCTGCAACTCTGGGACAGGCATTTTTCTGAAACAATTTAATACATATAGTGTCAAATTACAAAGCTTGTGCTGAGAAATCGGCATCGACCATAACTGGTGGATTATGTAACCGAAGACCATAAAAAACGACAGGAATGTCAACTGCGCCTTTGTTTCCTGCGCAAAAACTAGTGAGTTTCATTATCCACATTTCTCGTTACACCACGAATATCTAATAGCACACCCACAGGAGAACATCTACTGTAATTTGAAAAATTAGTTGAAACTTCATGAAGTTCACTAATGTCTTTTCGCCGGGTTCCCATGCGTTCAGTGAAGTGTCCGATACAAAGAAAGTTCTTTGTTCAGATTAGTTACCAAATAAGCAATATAAGGTTTTAAAAACATGACCAGCACTTATTTCTAAATATCAATCCATACCTTCACTTCCAACGAATTTCAAAAACTAAGAAAAGGTGCAAAAGATTAACGCAGCCTGCACGAAAACGAAAGCTGTCCCTCCAGAGCGACTCACACACACGGACTGGCGCTGGACTGGCGGTTGATGAAAGAAAGGCCGCCGAAAGGCCGGCCAGAATGTAATAGGCGCGCTAACAGCATTACTATTGACTTTGCAGCAACTCGCTTGGAGCGCTGGCAGACAGGTCAGCGGGTTTTTTAAATGTATTCCATATGCACCGCGGACAAAAGTATAGCACAGTTACACATTTTGACAGTCACAAAAAAAGCACATTTGATGATTAAAACGAACTTACGTTTCATACCTTTAACACGTACCATATAATTTATCTACCAAGAAACAACGAAACGAATGAAACGAAATATCATATAGTGTTAAATTTTCTTCGTTCTAATTCGCGTAAGGGCAATTTTATGTATTCATGTAAAATGTTTTTTTGTGAAAACCTGAAACATTATTTAATAAAAAAGTCCCCATTCATTTGGTATAAATTTTCCTCGCTGGTCATCAAGAATTTGTTAATGGCTGACTTTTCGTCATTAATTGACGCAACGCATCTCCAAGACCCGCGGGGCGTTGAGCGCTTTGTACTTGCGGAGTAATTCTCCATTAATATCAGCGCGGGAGTAACAAATCCATTAATCCTCCATTGATATTTCAATATGTTATATCCGTCATGTCTCGTCGCAGTCAGTTGTCGAGAGGGCCGCCAAGTAGCATCTCCGCGTACGCGCCTTTTACTACGCGCCCCTGCGTCACTACTCAGCGGCCATAATTGGGAAGGAATTAGAATACTTTACAGGGGTTGGACTAGCTCCTGTCAAGAACGCAAACTCGTTTTGTCGTAACAAATTTCACATGAGGTTTTACGGGGATTCTACGGGAATCGAAACCGGAACCTCAGTGCCACGAGAGCAGTAAACATAAACTGCTATATAATTTAAAATATTTGTATTTGCTAAGATGGTACGGTAGCTCATTCTTGAAATATCAAGCAATTTCTCACTGACGAATTGCGTGTTATCTTGAGAAGGATTCATAAGATTTACAAAATGTTAGTAATATCGCAGGTACGATCATTTTAAATCAAACTAAAAGTGCAATAAAGGCACAGACTTTCTCGCATTATTTGTTACTTTTGCAATTTTCGAAACTTTTTGCGATCAACGAAAATGGAACCTGCGCCATTTCTATCAGCGTACTTTAATCTATTGAAAAATAAAAAAATGAAGAAAAAAATTGGAACCATTTTATGAAAATATGTTTTTATATAAATTGTCTTGAAGCAAAATTTACATGATCTAATGGATCATGAATCGTGGATCTAAGTTTCCATGTTTATCGGAGGCAAAACTGGAAAAGGTAGTTTTTGTTGCATCGGAGGTTAGAAAACATATTCTCAACAAAGACTTCAACAGTTCGAAGATTCCAACTCAAAAAGAAGCGCGGGTTGTCTTTACTGTGGTCATTAAAACATTTGGGAAACCAAAAAGACACAAATCACAAGGAAATGATGGAATCAATGTTGAAAGCATTCCAAAAGCTTGGTTGCTCCATGTGCTCAAAAATCCATTTTCTCAATTCACACTTTGACTACTATCCCGACAATTATGGGAGCAATTAACGAAGAGAAAGGATAATAAAGAATTTCCATCAAGATATAAAAGAAATCGAAAGAAGGAATCAAGGGAAATTAGTGTTAACGATGATGGCTGACGACTGCTGAATGTTGCTACTGACTACTGCTACATGGATCTTCCGGAAGCCCCTTACAAGAGGAAAATATTTTAAAAAATAAGTTTGGAGTTTAAAAAAGGACAATTCCACAACTAATCCGATCCAGTGTGGTTTAAGTTTTGTGGTCAACTGTGCAAATAGGTTAATATTTTTATGTAAATAAGATACATGCTTCAAGAGATTTTTAAACAATGATATCAGTTTTGTTTGAAAACTTGACGTCCTAGGACAAAACGGTTGTCATTTCTGGATTCAGAGTATTACAAAACTTAAGAATCAGTTAGCTAAACCGAAACAGCTGACCCCAAAAAAGGTTTTTTGGAGACCTCCATAATTGTTTTAAAATTGCCTATATTTCACAAAAAATTGCGTGAAAACTATTTATATTTTCGAAAAATTGTACGTCACATTATTTAAAGACCTGACTTTGAAGAACATATTGCATTAACGAAAAATCTCTACCTCCAATATTGTAAATGTAGGAAGACAATTGAACTTTTTTTTCTTCTTTTATTAAGGTTAACACGTGTTTTCTTCACACTTCTCATTAGGATGATTCATGAGATGTGGAAATCCAACTCTTGATCCATCTTTTCTTTGGTCATCCTGGGACACGTTTTCCTACAGGTTTTGAATCTCTTGATTAGTCTTTTACTGTCCGACCTGGTAATGTGCTCATTCAATTCTCTTCTTCTGGTTCTTGTAAATTTTACTATGTTTGTAATGTCACATTCATTTCTTATATCTTGGTTTTTCAATCTGTCCCATCTTGTTACACATCTTAATGTTCTCGTTTCTGCTGTTCTAAGTAGAGTCTTATTTCTTCTATTATCGGCCATTGTTTCTGCTCCATATGCTATTATTGGTCTTACCATTGTTTTGTAAATTTTTACTTCCCTTTCTAGATTAAGATATTTGTTTCTGCATGTCACATCTTTCAAATACCCTGATATTCTGGCTCCTTTCACTACTTGCTGTTTAATTTCACTATACATATTCAGTGTGCCTGAAATTTCAACTTTTAAATAAGTGAATTCATTACTTGCTCCATTATTTTATTCTTTATCGTAAGTTTATGCAATAGATGCTCTTTTGAGATCTCCATTGATTTTCTTTTTCAGTGGAGATGACATAGTATACTATTCTGCACTCTTTGACAATTTTTGGAAGAGTTTTTGCAAGTTGTCTTCTGAATCTACTAACAACACTGCATCGTTCACATAACATAATATAGATATTCTCTCACTACCCATTCTATATCTTGACATTTCTTTCAAACTGACAATAAGCTTGTCCTTAATTAAATTAAAAAGTATAGGGCTTAGAGAATTCCCTTTTCTAATGCCCAGATGCACATATAATTTCATCTATTACCATATTTTTAATTTGAAACTATTGTGAGAGTATTCGTATTTATATCCTCTATTACTTTTATTAACGCCTTTGGTATGTTCTTCTCTCTCAAGATTCTTATTACATCTTTTCAATACATCCCACTTTGTTACACGATCGAATGCCTTCTTTAGATATACAAAATATAAAAAGCTGGATTGTTAAATTCAATTGGCTTTTCGACTTCTTGACGAATGAGTGTAATTATCTGTTATCTTTTGTAGTATCATTTTTAGAGTATTTTTGTGTCGTATTTAATAATGTTGCCTCTATAATTTTCAGGATTATTTTTGTCTCCCTTTTTGAATATGGGTACGTTTATGCGGGATTTCTATTCTAATGGCATTGTTTCTTCTTAGATTATAATATTAAATAATTCAGTCATTTGATCTACTAAATACTTTTCGCCATATTTTAATAACTCATTACTTATCCAATCACTACTAGGTGCTCTTCTGTTCTTGAAGGATTTTACCACCTCTTGCTCTTCTTCTGACATCTTCTTTTTTGGTCCTATCTTCCATTTACGGAAGTTAGGTGACCCATAACGGGGTTTCTTGAGATAATTTATTCAGGGTGGTTTCCCGTTGCCTTCCCTGATATGATGATGATGATAGGGGTGAAAGGACGAACACAATACAACCATGCCCGAGGCGGGACTCGAACCCACGATCTTTCGGTACGAGACCGCTACGGCACTACTGCCTTAGCGATCTCGGCCACCGGATCGGCTCAGCTGGCATAAATTCTACATTATCTAAATTTAAGTTGTCTTTATAACATATCTCTCGGTTATATTCTGTATCCTTATATAAGTCTGCAAACTATTTTTTCCATGTTTCCTTGTCTACATTATTATTAATCTTTATAGTTTCAGTGATTTCAGCTTTTCTGTTTCTCAAGAATCCCCATATCTTCCTTTGTGATCCATAAAGGTCTCTTTCAAAATCCTCCGTGAATTTCTCCCAGTATGTTTCTTTCAACTTCCTTAGTTTCATTCAAGATATATTTCTTTCTTGTTTATAACGTATGTGTTATTCTGTAGTTCGGGAAGATTTGTACTCTAAATTAAATTCCTGTTTCTTTTTCACTATTTCCTTTACTTCTTCTATGAACCCTGGTGTTTTACATTTACGTGATGGAACACATTTAACTTTTATTTTACCTTATGATTCTTCAGCAATTATTATAGTATTAGCTTTTAATTTCTTCCACGTATCTTCCACTTCTTCTCCCTTTTTTATAAGTGCATTATCGATTAGATTATTAAGTCTAGCGATGAACAGTTGTTTTTGTACTTTCATTTTCCAGAGACTCTATGTTAAGCTTTTCCTTCCATTCAATATTTGTCTCCTTTTTAATTGGTATCATTATTTTACATAATAGCAGTGAATTGTCTTTTCCTATATTAGCTGAGTTTAATACTCTTCTAAAAGTTCTGACGGTGTAAACTGTCGATTAGTTATCATGTAATCTATCATAGATCGTGGTCCTTGAGAACTTGGAAATGTATATTTAAAATCACGATCAAAAAATGTATGTTAAAAGCGTTGTTTTACTCCGTTTAATGATTCCTAATTCTTGCATTCAAATCTCCCATTTTTAGAATATTATTATGTCGATTAGTTTTTGAAGTTCTTCATAAAACAGTATTCTTTGTTCCCTAATTTTCGTAATACCTGGAACATAAACATTAATGACATATAAGTATTTATTGTCAATTTTCAATTTAATCTTCAAAAGCCTTTCATCAATGTAGTCTATTTGTTCGATATGCTGTAAACAGTTTATATTTAGGACACTCCAACACCGGTTTTAGTCCTTTGGTCTTTTAGGGTGCCACTGTATACTAGTACATGATTATTAATTCTACATATACCTTTACCATTTTTTTTTAGTTTCAGAGACACAACAGATGTCGATCTTGTTTTCTTCCAATACTATTATTATATTTTGTACCTTATTCTGCCACAATTTAACGTTCCACGTTCAAAGTCGTA